CCATTACAGCAAGGCACTTAAGTACATGCCTGACTCTGGTGATAGGAACCATCTCATGAACGTCCATGGACCTCTTGTAGGCTTCAAAGAGAAGCAGAGGAACTCTGGGATCAGAGCCATAAATGTGATCCAAATGTGTTGTCATCATGCTTATTGACTTGTGTCAATAAATCTGGATGGTTCTTCCTTCCTTCCTTCCTTCCTTCCTTCCTTCCTTCCTTTCTCTCTCCCTCTTTCCTCTCTCCCTGCCTTCCTCCATCCTCCCTCCCTCCTTCCTTTCTCCCTCCCCCCTTTCTTCCTCCCTTCCCCCCTCCTTCCTTTCTTCCTTTCTCCCTCCCTCCATCCTCCTTTCCTCCTTCCTTCCTCCTTTTTTACTTTCTCTCTCCCTCTTCCTTCCTTCCTTCCTTCCTTCCTTCCTTCCTTCCTTCCTTCCTTCCTTCCTTGGTCCTGCCGTGAGGGCAGGGGACTGGACTCCTCGGCTTCTCGAGGTCCCTTCCAGTCCTACTGTTCTATGATTCTAAGAGCAGCCAAAAAAAAAACAGCAGCTGCTAACGTGCTGTCCTGCCTTACACAGGAATCACTACTTCTAGCGAAATACTGGCCTGGCCTGTGGTCTGATCAGCCACTCCAAGACCAGCCAAATACGTCAGGCTGCTTAAGGCATTGCTGTGAGCTGCCCTGTCAGCTCCGGGCCTACAGCGTTATAGTAAAAGATGGTGCCACCCTGGCAGCGAACCCCAACTCTTCCTGGACAAAAGATAAACGGAAAGAGGGGAGCAGGGGAAGAAACAAAGCATGGAAGGAAAGTGACACATAGAGGAAGGAGTGACAGCCAGCGCCCTGGCTTCATTTTCCTGGTTGGGTTTTGGATTTAGAGGAAGCTAGTGGAGTGGGTGGGGTGTAATATGGTTCACCCTCTCTGGCTGGATTCATACTTTCAGAGTATGGACACAGTGCCAGGGGGACTGATGGATCCAGGCACCGATTCCATGGGTGCTGTGGGGCTACAGCCCCATGGGCAAAAATCCATGGCAGCCAACTCCCTTTCTGCCCCTTACCCCAGCACTTTTCACCCACTGGTGGCCTCCTCCTCCTTCCAAGAGCCTCCTGCCCTCCATGAACCAGCTGTTCAGTGGCATTTCAGAAGTTCCAGGAGGGAGAGGGAGGTGTGGGGCAGAGGCAGGTCTGGGGCTTGGGAGAAGCGGTGGATTGGGATGGGGTGGAGGTGCTGCAGATGTGGGAAGAAACAGGGCAGGGGAAGGAGGAGGTGATATACATTATAGGAGAAGAAGTACCTGTCAATTGTAGAGCCCATTTTAATGAGGCTAATTAAGGCTGTGTCTAGACTACACCCCTTTGTCGACAGAGAGATGTAGATTAGGCATGTCAAAATTGCTAATGAAGCAGGGATTTAAATATCCTGTGTTTCATTAGCATAAACATGGCCGCCACCTTTTTTAATAAAGGATAAATGGACACAAATCGGACATCACAAATGGTAACCCACATAAACCAGTAAGAGCTTGCGTCACCAAATTCAGTATACAGCTTCCCCTTATCATAATTTCAAGCAATATAAGATTTTGGTTGTGCAAGGAAAATAGAATGTGCCTAGAATTGGACTGGTTCTCATAAAACGAAACAGACCAGAGACAGACTCACTAAATCAAGTACAGACCTCAAAACTGACATAACTGAGGGTACGTCTACACTACAGCACTAATTCGAACTAACTTAGTTCTAATTGATTAATTCGAACTAAGCTAATTCGAACTAACGTGTCTAGAACTAAAAACAAGTTCGAATTAGCGTTTTGCTAATTCGAACTAGCACGTCCACATTAAGTGGACCCTGAACTGGGCTTAAGGCTGGCCGGAAGCCGTGCCGGCAGGGCATCAGAGGAGGACTTAGAGCGTGGAGATGCTGTCTGAGGCTAGCTGAGGGCTGCGCTTAAAGGGTCCCAACCCCCACCCCGGACAGACAGTTCTCTGGGGTGCCCCGCTTGCAAAGCAGTCCTGGCTTGGAGTGCCCGGAGTACCCACGCTGGGCACATCACACCACTCGGCCATCAGCCCGGCTGCACTTGCCGCAGGCTGCCATCTGGGGAGAGAGGGCAATTGGGGGGCTGCAGGAGAGCTTCCACACCCAGAACCCGCAGAGCCAGCCCAGTCCTCCCCATCGGGGGC